GAGGCCAGCGCGGCCCGCGGGGCGCCGCAAAGCTCGGGCCGGCTCCGAGCTGCGTGCGCCGCTGTGAAGCGAGCGCGGGCGGCACTGAGGGGACTCACCGGCGGCGGTCGCGGCGCTCTCGAAATGTCCACCGCGGCGAAGCCCAGAAACGGTGTGCCTCGTGCAGCCTGCCGGCGCGATTTAAATTTCCCGGTGACTACGCGTTCTGATTGGCTGGTTCGAGCCTAAACTGTGGGCGCATTGGTGGATTTGAAAAACACGTTAGGCGGGGAGGGCGTAAGACCTAAAAAAGAAGGAGGGGCGAGTCTCGCGAGATGAGGGAGCGGCCGGACGATCCCAGAATGCTTCACGGGCCCAGCTGGGCTGACTGAAAGTCCCGGCTGCTGCGCTGGTTGCGGGGCGGCGGTCCAGCCAACGGAGGGCTGCTGGGCGTTTGCGCCGCGCTCAAGCGAAAAACGTACATCGCAAAATGCCTCTCAAACTCATAATTAAAAGAAAAAAAAGTTATATACAAATATATTGACTTACATCTTTTCATGTTGGGACATAGAAGGGACTAGGGTTTCTGGCCACCGTGGGAGAAAGGAGTGAAGCAGACTTGCGTTGCATTTCTGGGTTTCCTCTTTAAAAATTGCGCGATTGGAGCCGCGCGTGGTAGCACCCGCCTGTAATCCCAGCACTCGGGAGGCTGAGGCAGGAGGATCCTTGCGAGCAAGACCAGCCTGGGATACAAAGTGAGTTCAAGGCCAGCCTGAACTGCACAGTGTAATGCTGTTTCACACACAAACACACACACACACACACACAGTTGCGCGAGAAGACTATAAACGCTGCAAACACGCTAACGAAGAGTTTACACTTTCTCGACTTAAATCTAGAATTCCAAGTATTCCTAGTTGCCAAGTATTGCTATTTGCCGCCTTTTCTATTTTTCTGCATATGTATTTGTGTGTATATACACACATGTAATTTTTATGCATTACTTCTTGAGCCTTTGGAGGGTTTCAGAAGTCACGTCTCTACCGTTAAGTGTTTATCAATGCATCTCCAAGGAAGGGATTCTTAAAAATTATATAACCGTGCCACAAATCATCCAATTCAGAAAAAAAAAAAAACTATCACGTGCATTTAATACAGAGTCCCTGTTCACGTTTCATCGTGCACTTTTTTCGAAAAATTCATCAAACATAAGCATCAGGATCGTGGGCCATTTTTGTTTTCTTTCTGTAGTTTTCTCGTGCTCTAAAGGAACACGTTAGAAAAGTTGTATTGGTTTAGTTTTTTTATTACAAGTAAATTCAAATGGCGAACTTCGTGCACTCTTCCAAGTGTTCATGCCAGCCTCGCTCCAGTGTAGCCACTGAGGAGTATCAAGGGCTTGCTGTTATTAGCGACCAGCATAACCCCATCCCCCTAAGGGCAAGAATGTGGAAGGAATTCGTCCCTGAACCAATCATTGCTGGACATTCTCTTGACTACTGTGATTGGCTGGAGGCAGCCACGTGACCCAAATTCATCCAGTTGGGAAGCCTTTGTTTGGTGGCTGGAGATAGCCCAGCTGCCGCTGGTCTGAATAGAGAACTGTGAATTGGAAAACCTGAATAAGGAAGCTGTAGAAAAATCTTGAGAGCTCCGGAGAACAATCAGCCCTATCCCTGAAGGTTGCGGTTATTCCTCTAAAGGGTCTCACTTAGGTGACCCCGTGCATTTCCCTTGTATTGACAAGTTGGGTTTTTTAAACTTGCAAATAGTGAGTCCTGCGTTCCCACGAGTGTTATTTTACGTGTGCTGATACGTTTAATTGCCACACCTCCCCGAGGCAGCCCTGTTATCTGTTCCATTTCACAAGACTGAACTGTGAGTGCGTAAGCAATTTGTGCAAACTTACACACCAAATGGCAGAAGGGATTCAGACCCAACTGCTTGACCCACGATCTCTGCTTTAGGCCCCTGTTCTGTACTTGCATCTCAAAATAACTTGAAACAGAAAGTTGCCTTGAAAAGATACAGTATTGTCCTGCCTGACACTGCTTGCCCCACTCTTAGCTCTGGGAGTTTGGATGGGGATAAAAGGTCTTTATCTGGCCTAAGCCGATCAGTACATTCTGTCCCCTGCCGCAGGGACTGGTTTGACGATGGCTGTGGTTTGCGGTTTTGTCTGCCAAAGGTTCATGTGCTAAAGCTTGGTCCCCAGTGTGTCCCTGTTGAGATGTGGTGGAAGTTTCAAAGGTAGGGCCTTAGCCCGGGTATGGTGGTGCATACCTGAGATCCCAGCACTCGGGAAGCTGAGGCAGGACAATCACCATGAGTTCAAGAGCCGTGTGGGCTAAAGCGAGACTCTAGCTCAAAAAACAATAACACTTTCATTGTCTGCTTAAACTGCAGTAATCAATACCACAGGCTGGGTGACTGAAACAAGAGAATTTATTTTCATACAGTCCTGGGGGCCAATCGCCTGAGACTAGGGTACCAGCGTGCTCATCTTCCCGTGACGGTTCACCCTTACCCTGCAGATGGCCATCTGCTCCCATTCGCTCACATGGTCTCTGTGTGTAAGTGCAGAAGCAGAAAGCAAGAGTGCTTGCAAAGGCGCCCTGCATCTCCTCTTCTTAGGGTACTCATTCCATTTTGAATCCGGAATGTCCCCGAGGTGTGTGTGTTAAAGGCTTGAATCCTAGGGCACCGATATTCAGAGGTGGGCTTTTAGAAGAGGAATTAGTGAATTAGCTCATTGATGGGTTTATAACTTGAGGTGTTATTGGGAGGCTGTTACTTAACAGCGTGGGGCTTGAGGGAAGGGAATGCGTCATGCTATACAACCTTGGGAACTGTATCTTGTCCTTCACCCTTTCACCTCAGCTGTCTCCCTGCTTCCTGGCTTCCATAAGGTGAGTAGCTTCCCTGTCCCAGACCCATCTGCCATGATGTTTCTGCCTCACCACAACCCTAAATGCAATGGCGCCATCTGACCATGGGCTGAAACCTCCGAAACCATGAGCTGAAATAAACCTTTCCTCCTTTCAGTTGCTATTCCCAGGTATTTTGTCACAGCAACGGAAGGGTGACTCGTGCAGGGTCCTAGTCTCACGACCTCTTCTTCTAGCCCTAATTACCTCCCAAAGGCCCCTGCTGCACATACAATTGCACTGGGGTAGTGGATTTTGCTGAGGGACACATTCAGTCTGTAACATTCAGATTCTCTGCCTTGGAAATTTGTATCTGGAGTGGAAACACACAGGAAGAAAGGGGCTGGAGCTGAGTTGTCAGAAAGAAACAGCCCAAGGGCTGGGGATTTAGCTCATCGGCACAGTGCCTGCCTGGCAAGCGCAAGGTCGTGAGTTTGATTCCTGGTACCAGAAAAAAGCCAAAAAAAAAGCCAAAAGAAAAGAAAGAAGCAGCCTAGAGAGAGAGAGAGAGAGAGGAGTCATTTGCCAAGGAGGCTGACAGCCTTTGGTTTCTGTCGTCCTTCTAGGCCTCCTTGTTAAGTCTCAGTCCTGTGAACTACATAAACTATGCATACAACAATCCTCAAACCAGCCTCTTGCTGGTCTGAATTAGAGTGGCAGCAATCACTGATTGCTCCCCAAAGCACACCTCGCATTTGGTAAATTGTTGCTGCCAGTGGGTGCCTCGCCCATGACTGCATCTCGGTGTCCTTGGATCCAGGTGAGACCCTAAGGCTAGATCACAGGAAAGTGATGGGTTTGTCTTCTGGGTCAGATTTTAAGAAGTAGATACAGGCCGGGGAGATAGCTCAGTGGCATAAGCGCCTGCCTGGCAAGCACAAGGTCCTGAGTTCGATTCCTGGTATTTAAAAAAAAAAGAAGAAGAAGAAGTAGATATGGTCGGGGGAGAAAAGTAGATACAGTGGTACCTCGGTTCGCGAACTTGATTCTTTCTGGTCGCAAACTAAGTTGGATGAGAACCGAATCAAATTCAGTGCTTAGGTTCAATGTTGACCTTATGGGGAAATTTGACTGGGTTCTCGTCCGGTTCAGTTTGCGGCCAGAACTGTGGAGAGAACGGAGCTCATGTACGTCTCCTTTCTCTTGTCTCTCCCCTCGCCTCCCTTTCCTTGGCTTGCAGCCACAAGGCAAAGATAGTGACGCCGCAAAACGGAGGGACCCTGGAGTCCTGGGTCTCCTGCCAATCAGAGACTCCTCTGTTAGATTTTACATAAGGAAAAGTCTGTTGTGAGAGGCCACAGAGACGATTGGGTTTATCTTGTGTGGCAGCTCAGATGGCTCTAATTACCATCCTCAGCGCTGGCCTATGCTGCCGGCAACCCAAATCCCCCGGTTCGCGAACTTGATTCTTTCCGGTCGCTTCCGGAAGCAGGGAGGCGAGAAGCAGGGAGACTGAACGAACAAGCGGTACTGGGGTTAAGAAGCTCGCAACAGACTCGCGGGGAGAGAAGAGACGTCTGACGGGTTCAGTCCGGAGGCTGAGACGGCGCGAGCGGCCGGTGATTTCCTCTAGTTCTGATACAACGGGCGGCAGTCGGGAACGCCAGTGAGCTGCGCTGTCGCCCTCGGGAGGGAAGCTTTGGGGGTGCAGGCGCTGCCGCAAAGGACTCTCAGAGGGGACGGGAAAGCTGACGTGAACTCAGCTGGCACGCTCATGGTGGCGTTGTCAATGGTTTTCAATGATTTTGCTCCCTAGGGAATTTGTTTTGTTTTCTTTTTTTGAAACAGGATCTCACTATGCAGTCCAGGCCGGCCTTAAAATCACTATATAGCCCAGGCAGGCCTCAGACTCACAGAAATCCTCCTGCCTCAGCCTCCCGAGTGTTGGACCTGGGGTAACTTGCTTGCTCCTGGAGTGGACATTCTCAGTTCCTGGTAAATCCCCCCCACACACACACACACACTGGCTTCCTCACTCTCTGAGGAAGGGCGTCTGTGGTGGTAGGCATGGCTAAGCAAAAGCCATTGTCTTTTTGTCCCCACCGAAGAGTAATTTAGCAGGCGAACTGCATCCTTGTGAAAACGCAGAGATTAGCGGCATGTTGGAGACGGACAGTACCTGTGCTCTCTCTGGGAAGCAGCTCTCCAGAAGCTCCAGGTGACCGTGTGCCCGAGCCCTGAGCGTGGCCATGCACTCAGTGACGAGCAGAAGCAGGGAGGCGTGGCCGGGCCGGGAGGCAGGAGACGGCTGCATGCCCGAGGCACTGCTGTTCCCAGCTTCGGGCTTTGCGGCCTCAGTGAACACTCAGGGCATCGGGTGACCAGTTCCTTGAGGAAGGCAGAGAGAGGTCGAGAGGAGCTCTGTGCGACACGCTGGCGTCAGCTGAAGTAGACCGCTCGGG